CTCACCCTTTGTCTTTGTGGCCAACGACAACAACAACATCATTTATTCATAGATTCTTTTCCTCGGATTCGATTCTCCTTTTGAGAATTTGTGACAAATAACACTGAGAAACATTTTTTTTCTCTGTTAGTTGAAATTTTTGAACGCATCTTAGATATTTTTTCGAACTGATTTCAAATCTGAAATCGGTTTTTCTCTAAAAGCTACAGTGTTTTATGTTATTCAATTACACATTCCCAACTAGGAGTCTTTTAAATTCAAACAAGAGAATGCTAAGAGTCCCCACTTCTCTGCTGCTCATGTCGTGGTGTTAGGAAAAATGCAATAATATATTTCTGTTTTTAACGTGATAGGTTAAAAATGTATGTTTTTTGTTTTAAGTGTTATTTTCATCCGGGCAGATTAATGTTTTGTATGTATATAAACTTCTACGTTCTTTATAAATTTGTATATTCAGACAAAAATTAAACTATATACAGTTAGTCAATAAAGTCTGCGTACGGACTGATTATTAAATTTAAAAAGCACTTTAATCGTCAAAGAAACATTTTAATCAGTATGATTTTTTTCCCTGTAATAGCTGTAATTGTAAGCTACAATAAAGAGCAAAAATAAAAGTGCAATATTTAAAAAAATTTTTCAAAAAAATTTTTTTACGAAAAAAACACATCAATACACTCCAATAAAGTCTGCGCACACTTAAGAAAATATTAAAAATAAAAGTTTTTAGCGTTATTTTAATATTTTGTTGCGTACCCTTTATTTTTTAAAACAGCTTGCAGACGTCTAGGCATTGACTGGACTAGTTTCTGTGTATCATCTGACGTAAATTTTGCCCATTCTTCCTGCAATTTGCATATTAACTCATTTCGGGAAGTAAAATTGTGTTTTCGAATTCGTTTGTCCAATTTTGCCCACAAATGTTCAATCGGGTTAAGGTCTGGTGACTGTGGAGGAGTTGGTAATTGTCGCGGAGTGTGATAGAGAAAATATTCCTTCACAATTTTAGCAGTATGTTTAGGGTCGTTGTCTTGTTGGAAAATAAAGGTATTAGAAAGGTTAAAATTTCGAGCACTTTCTGGCAGATTTTTTTTCAAAATATCCAAATAAACATACCTGTCCATGACTTTATCAATAATATGCAAGTTTCCAACTTCATTCGAAGACATACACCCCCATACCATCACACCACCAGATCCATGTTTAACAGTTGGATTTAAATTTCTCAGATTCAGTTGTGTTCCCGGTTTTCTCCATACAATAGGGTGGCCATTGATCTTAAATATTGTAAATTTACTTTCATCTGACCAAATTACACTATTTCAATAGTCTGCCGAGGAGTTCAAATAAGTTTTTGCTAAAGCAATTCTTTTCATTCGATTCGTCTTAGAAATGTATGGCTTAGACCTAAATTTGCGTCCTTTGATAATTTGCCTTTCGCAGTACTTTTCTTACAGTTTCAGGGGAAATTTCCTTATTGCTTGTTAAAAAAATATCTTTTGTTATACTTGCAGCAGAAAGTTTAGGATTTTGCTTAATTCGCAAAAGAACTTTTCTTTCTTCTCTCTGAGTAAGCTTCTTAGGTCTTCCACTTCTTGGTTTTACAGCAAGATTTCCAGTATCAAGGTAGTTCTGAATAACTCTCAGCACACTAGAATGAGGCCTCCTAACTATTTTACCAATATAGCGAAGAGTTTTACCTTCATCTCTCAATTTTATAATTAACTGTCTTGTAGCTAAAGGAATTTCCTTATTAAGTGACATTTTCGTCAAAGAAAATAGCACTAGCAACTTCCCATTAACTCGAAAATAGATTTGAAGCTCAATGACCTTGAAAGTGTAATCTGATTTGCATTCTCAANTTTGTTAGCATGAAACGAATGCTTGTTTCTATAGACCATTTTGAGGTATATATCATATTGTATAGACCATATTGAGGTAGTAAAGAAGTGGAGAGAAATCCGATTTCATTCTTTCGTAGAGTAGACCATGAATTTTCTCAGTTTTCGATGATAACCTAGCAGTAAAAGTCATAGTTACATTTATAACAGATAGTACTTTATTTAAAATCAATTTCGGAGCTTTGGTACACTTATACGATTTTTAAGCCTCAATTCGGAGCTTCTTCCTCTTGCATTGTGGGTAATTGTTAACTAGAATGGAGACTAGACAATCGAAACTAGAATAGAAAAATGTTTCGTTCCTTTTCACGAAATTCATTTCCTCGAAGATGCGACGATTGCTATTTCGTCACTTTGATTCAATGTTCCTTCGTAGCATGTGCCAGGGAGCGGTTTCATCAAAAACGAGGAAAGTTTCGTGAAATTTGAGTATTCATTTTTTACTGTGTAGCTAATCATTGTTCGTGAAATTAGAGTATTCATTTTTTACAGTGTAGCTAATCATTGTTCGTGAAATTTGAGTATCCATTTTTTACAGTGTAGCTAATCATTGTTCGTGAAATTTGAGTATCCATTTTTTGCTGTGTAGCTAATCATTGTTCGTGAAATTTGAGTATCCATTTTTTACAGTGTATCTAATCATTGTTCGTGAAATTTGAGTATCCATTTTTTACAGTGTAGCTAATCATTGCTATAACTTTTATTATTTTTTTTGGAATAATGTTTAGAAAAAAATTTTTTTTTAAAAGTCAACATCCGGATGTAGATATCTCGTAATTGTTTCATTTACAAAACGTAACTAATGACTGTAGTTAAAAACTGTTTAAATGGTAAATAGTTTCGTACTGAAATTCATTATGAATTATCCGTGGTATCAGAAAAAAAAATTTTGCGCAAATTATCGTTATATAGAGGTTCATGCAGGCCTCAATTATTTTAATTTAATTTATAATAAAATACTTCCTGTTATAAGAAATCTCTTAAAAATTCAATTTTCAAAAATGTATATCCGAAAAGCATTTCTTCAGTAAAAAGCAATTTTTCAGAAGAATGGAAACTGTTCATTTTGTGTCCTGACTAATTCGAAGAAAAAAAATAGCTTTCGGAACGGTCAACA